TGACAGGCACAACTATAGAGCACTGGTAGCTGCTCTAGAACTCAGGTATGGAACCCAAAATCAGTCTGAAGTCTACAGGGCTAGGTTTAGGACGAGAGTCCGTGCTAAAGTGCAGAGCCTGCAAGAGCTGGCTCAGGACTTGGAAAGCATGGCACACACAAGGCCCACCCAACTGCGCCACCCGATGTCTTCAAGTTGTTGTTGAGGGATCAATTTTAGATGCCTTGGACAGTCCACAACTGAAGATACAAGTGAAGCAAGCACACCCCTCTACTATGCAGGATGCAATGGCCAGAGCTCTTGAATTCGAATTCAATGTTAAGTCCAGCACAGAGGTACTAAGGTTGGTACAGTCATCAGGATTAAAGGCCGGAAAAGATCAGCTTTCAGACAGGTTTGAGGGACTTTGCTGGCACTGTAACAAACCTGGGCACAATGCTGGAAACTTCAACACAGTGAAGGTGCCATGGCAGGAAAGGCTGCTACCCAGAAAGGTTGTTGGAACTGTGGAGAGCAAGGACATATGAGGAGTCAGTGTAAGAAGAATACTACCAATAAGTCAGCTTCGAGGAAACAAGTAGTGGTTCGTGTTGAGGGACTCCTACCAACCCCCACCATGAAAGTCCCAACAGCTAAGTGTAAAATGCCAAGCACACATAGTGTCTACGTGACAGGAAAGCTGGATGGCCAAAAGTGCAACTTTGTCATAGATTCTGCATCTCAGCAAACCCTTGTGAGTATCAAGGTGCTAGATCACAAAGGAGTACCAGAAGCCATAGAGAAGCTTTATGGTGTGACAGGACATTCTACAAGATTGTGGGGACCAGTGTGGTAACTATTGAGCTCATGAGCATAAAGGAAAGACAGAAAGTATACTTGGCTGACATTGAAGACCAATGCATATTATGGTTGGACTACTTACTACTGAGGAAGTGTGTAGTTAACTTCGATAAAATGACGTTTGAGAACAAGAAAAGCCGAATTCCGTTAAGTGTTAAAAGAGAGATTGAACTAACCAGGTGTCATCAAGCTGAAGTCAAAGTGACCGAAGGAGTTGATGATGGTGAAGTGGAACCAGGTAGAGATATTAAAGCAGAGTAGGAGAAAGACTAATATTTGAAGCCAATAATTGATTTCGTACAAGTAAGTGTTTTGTGCCCTGCTTTGGAGAAGGTGTCTAACTTAAGCCCTGTGACAAAGAACTATTGGGCACAATGGGACCAGTTGAAACTTGAAGATGGTATTCTTGTCTGGAGATGGGAAAGTGACGACCTGGCAAACAGTTATACCGAGAAAGTTACGGGAAATTGTGCTGCGTCAGTCCCATGATAGTTTAACAGGAGGACATCTCGGAGTTAAGGAGACATTGAGTCACATACGACAGAGATTTTACTGGATAGGTATGAGGCAAGATGTGGAAGAATGGTACAGAACCTGCAGTACATGTTGTGCCAAAAGGGGACCCAAGCATAAGGGACGTGCTCCAATGAAGTTACATCAAGTTGGCGCACCAATGGAAAGAGTAGCCATTGACATTACTGGTTCTTTGCTCCAAACTAGTGCTGGAAACAGGTACATTTGCGTGGTGATGGATTAGCATTGTTCATGACACAATGATCTCCTTTAATGGAAAACACGAGTGAGAATCGTAGTGACTCATACAATCCCATGAATAACCAAGACAATATAAGTTTAATAGTTCCATTGACAGATGTTCTACAAAAAAAAATAAAAAAAATAAACCACAAAACGCACTGATAACTTTGAGAATTCCTTGGCAGCTAAAGGTAGAAGATTTATGATATGCCCATATATCATAACAATGAGCCGGTGTTAGCTTGACAACTACAATGATGTACCAACAAAACGCCCATCTTTATAGAGTAGCGCATGTTGAAGTATCTGGGTCGTGCATGCTCTGTTAAGACAGGTTGTGAGTAAAATGACCCTTATCTCTAAATAAGTAAAATATTAATTATACTTGTCGTAAGACATTAATTAGTATTTGGCCTAGATAAAGAATGTAGTGTTAAAAAATATAATAGGCCTAATACTAATATCTTATGACAAGTATAATATCAATATATATATATATAAAAGCCAAGTGTCGTCCATGCTCGATTTCTCCGCATTTTGTGAGTTACACGAGTCCAATTCCACTTTTTCTCCTATAAAACTTCCTCTTTTGATTGTCCGTTCCAATTTTAGTTGAATTTAATTGCTAACATAGGCGTAAATTGTTCCTAAATTTCCGCACTTTGTCTGTTATATAAAAGGCTGTCAGGGAGGGAGTTACCAGGATTAGATCAGGCATGGCGTTATGTATGTAACACCACATCATTATGACGTCAAGCTAGGTTGAATCCGGATAGGAAAGCCGGAAGACTCCTGTGAAAAATAAGTCAAAAATTAGCGCAATCCTATGCTTGAAAATTATTACGAAAAAGCCTTTGTTAAAACAGGCTGAATATACCAATTATCTGTAGGAAAGAGGACGACTTTTCCTTAGAAGAAGAATAGGTGTATATGCAATCACATGGTCATCACATGTTTTAATCTTTTATTCAAAGGCACCAATATGTAGCATGTTCACACTCTTTAGGTAAAGGAGATATTGATCATGATAGGTTTTGATTTCCCGAAGCTAGAAGGCCCTTTATTTTTCTTATGTCTGTTTACGAGCGACAAAGTTGCAAATGCATATTGGAGGGTTCAAATTTGGTATGATTCGGTTTCCAGTCATTTTTGACGGGCTTTTATACTAGTTAATTATAATCATGCTTCGCCAGTTTGGAAAAACGTTCATACCAATTTTAAGTATAATATTTATTTACAGAGGGATAATGGTCGTTTTATTCACAAAAGATTTATTATAATATATTTTAATATTGATTTTTTATCATGCTATGTTTATTTTTATTAGATTTTTGAACTAAATATTTATCATAGAATTTGAAAAAGTATGAAAAAATATTGAATATTAACAACGTATACATTGAAGGTTCTAGACATTTTTTGTTCGAAATACAACTAGTTTACGATTGAATAACTATCGGTTATACATTTTTGCAAGAGGAAGTGTTTTAACTAAAATTTAAGAGTGTATTCTTGTAATTTTTTTATCAGACCTATGAATTTATTACCTGATAGGTGGCAATATGAAAACGTAGTTAATACGAATAAGTAATCAATAGCAGTGGGGAAAGAGGAACGTCTCGAAGTTGAGTGAACTCGCCAGTGCCATGGTTACGAACGTAGTGAAATTAGTAGTAGTAGCAGCAAACCTATAACGTGAGGCTTATGTTCAGTTCAGTGTTTTATAGCGGGAAGTTTAATTTGAACGAATTGAAATAATATAATAACTAATGTGTGTTTTTGTTATTTAAGTTAAAAGGATTCTTGTGCATAGTTTTAGTATTATTAACTAATACTAGGCCTACACAAAACATAATTATTAATCATTACGAGTCACATTGATTTATTTTAAATAGACTACAGATTCAGTGATTGATTGAAGAACTCAAGATTCTTTAACTCAAGTCTTGGGTCATCATTTGTGATAATTCTGTTACAATAGTTAAGTTGCTGTTAGTCTGGAAACAAAAATCTTAAAAGTCTAATGACTATTTTAATCTCATGTGTCATATCGAGAAATGAAAATGAAATGAACTGTCCAAATTAGGAATTGAAGCTTTATAATCAGTAGTAATTTTGTGTTTGAATTGTGTAAACATTAGATTAATTTACAATAGTCATTTATTAAACCTCTTAGCTTTATATGTTATATTTGAGCTGAGCACTAAACATGTTTATAAGACCTCCTTAAAAGCTTGTATATTTTGTTGTTTATTGAATTGTGCATATATAGTACACCCCACTCAAATATTCCAGTAACATGTATGGAGATGTGATATGTTTACCCACGAGGAAGCTTGTACCACTAGCCTTTTTTTCTTTTCAGATTGGACTTTGGATTAGGTAGTAATTGTGAGCCTGAAGCATAATGTACCAGTGAGTCTTCAAAACAGTTATGATGTTGGCAGTAAAACATCTGTTTATCGTGCTCATTGCAAGAAGTCTGGAATAATTATGTCTTCAGCAAAAAGTGGCTACGTATGTACTCCATGTACATTTTCTAGTTGTGTTGGATTGCCTTTTAATGACAACTGCATCTCAGATGGTTCTAGAAAATCACCTATTTTTGTTTCATCAGATAGCCAACTTCAGAATAATGCACAAGTATCAGAATCTGACTTAAAAGCTTTGAAGTATGTTGATGAACATGAAGCAAAAAACTCTTCTGAAATGAAACCTGAACCAACAGGTATTAGTTGTAATTATGACTATAAACAGGAAGAATCTACAGGAACACAAGATTTACTTAAAAGAAAGAAAATTACAAGAAAGAAAAGCATTTTTTGCAGTTCAACAGCTCATGATCTTCGGCATTTTGATTTTGATAATGAGGAGGAATTTAAAGGACCTCAAACTAAACAATATTCTACATATAGAACTAATAATCAACCATCTGTTATTTCTTCATTTTCTAAGTTATACAGTGGGAAAGAACCAGCCAATAACTGTACTTTAAATCTGGTAGAACCAAATAAATTAAGAGTGGATTCAGTTATAGAGAGAAGTGAGAATAAGTTAGGTACGCATAATTCTGTTCAATTTTTAACTAGTCAAGACAGGGCTTTAAGTTCAAACATAACAGATAGTGGTGATATTGAGAACTGGCCAGAGACTACTAAAGATGCCAGTAAAGATAAAATGAATGCTGAAAGTGTTAGTGAAGGACATGGAAAGCAACAGTTCCAGCAGCAAGTGGGTTATATTTGCAGTCTTCAGAATTTACAAGAATGTGCAAGGTTTCCAAGAGTTATAGGACGGGTACGTGTGAATGATTTTGTATTCTAGGCCCGGAACACGTCTAAAATAAAGATTAAACAGAAATATAATTATTAGATTTTATATTAAATACAAAATGTTTTAGTAAGCCAATTTACTGAAACAAAAACACAAATTAATGATAGAAATGTAATGATTAATGACTGTTTCAGTCTCAGGGGTTGTATCTTGAAAATTGATTGAAATATAGAAATTAGGAATAGAAACCTAATATATGTATATATAATGGTCATATTTCTTTTTATTAAAGATATTGTGAAAAATATTGTTTCAATTATTACAACTTTTATTCATAATTATCCACTTCTAAAAATTTTATTCAACAATATATATTTTTTATTTATGTTGTTTCTGTAAAGGTTTATTCAACATTATTTAATATGGAAATATGGAGCAAAGTGCATGTAGTTTACATAGACAAAAATAAGCATATTTATAACCACAGTAGACCGTGCAGGTTAAAGCATATTTGATCTCTTCAATTTAGCAAGGTTAATAACATAAGATACTACCTGATAGAAAGGTATATAAATATGCTTTCAGAATGTAATTGACCTAGTGCAGTATATATATATATATATTGTTAAAATAGTGTTAACTTCTTTTAGTTTTACAAAGTGTGTTTTAAATTCTTCATTGTATAGTTGACCTAAACTCTCAGTTTTTATTGTCATTTTGTGCTTTAAAAAATTCTTACATGCCAAAATGGTGCACTGTTTTATATTCTCAAATTTTCTTATGGTAATTCAGCCAGAACTGAACAACCTATCACATGAACAAATATACTTTTATCATTGAATTTTGAGGATAGCAATTTTCTTAAACCTTAGAAGCCCCCCCCCCCTCCCCAGTGACTCAATGGTAAATCTGAAGGTTTATAATGAAAAAATTTGGTTTCAATACCTGTGGTGGGCAACAGCACAGGCAGCCCATTGTGTAGCTTTGTGCTTAAACAACAAATAAATAAATCTTAGAAATGTGTATTGCAAAATGCTGAATAAAAACTGAAAATATGGGTAAACTATATATATATACACCCACCTAAACCCTGTTTTTATTATTTTGTTAAACCTTAGAAATATGTTTGATAGACCTGGGTAGGCGACATATGGCTGTAGACCTCACGCTATAGTAGCACCCAAAGTTATCTGATGAGTTACATTGGGGAAGTCAAAAGTTGTTTACCTTCATGAGAAATTCATATTCTGGTAATACTGTATGCTTTTGGAGTTTTAATTAAGTAAAAATTCAAATTTAAATAATAATTTTTAATGTATGACAAAGATTTTATGTACATGGCCATCCTAATCTAATGGTAATGAACAGCAACCATATACAGTAATTGAAATAGTTCACTATTTGACTACAAATTTTAGCAAACAGTTTTGAATTTTCAAAAACCTGTACTTTTCTGGATTGGTTATTTGAATTTTTTTTTGGTTTTTAGAAGTTGATTTTAAATTTTCTTTCTTGTGTCATCTTCACAACATTTGTAAGATATTTTCATAAAGGACTATTCAAGAATTTGTATGATAAAGTTGATGGAATGGCTGAAATATTCCAAAACATACTTACCTCTTCTCACACTACAGATATTTCTCGACTGTAGTGTGAGTGGAGGTAAGTATTATTGGAAATACATCTTTGATTTAAGAAAATGTTAACTTGTATTGCATAATCATAGATTCAGAAAACACTACCATTGTTTACAACAATCTGAAAAAAGCTGGCACTAAATTGAATAGGAAGAATTATGTAAAAAGTTACTCAATAATGAAGAGGTGTCTGATAAGTTGAATGAGGTACTTGGTTTTAAAAAAGGTGTGAAAGTTAACATTTTGTACTTTCCAAATTCGGCTGACATATTTAATAACACATACTAGGAGCCAGTCAGAAACATTGCACAATTTGAATCTAGATTATAAGATATTATATTCAGGATATTGAGTTTGGAAATAAGAGCAAAAGATGTGATGATGTATTTTGTATTAAGAATGTATTAACTGTTCTTGCATTCCAAAGTAGGATTGGAGAAGGGCAGATGAAAGTCGTTGATGATTTGAAATTCTCAGCTTTGTATTCATAAAAAGTAATTCCTTTAAAAAGACTTATGTTTTATTAGAATATGTGGAACAGCATAGTTTTTCCTTTTCACAAATTTTCTACATTTCCAGCACAATTTCTCATTTGTGAGATCCTACAAATTAGGTAACTCTGACACATTTCAAAAACTTTTATTTAACAATATTTTTGTCAAAAATTTTAAAGTCTAGACTAATGTTTAAATTACAAGGAAAAATACTCATAAATATTGATAATACTGCTGTAACATTGTTCTTTCATTAATTATTTGGTAAAATATAGTTCAAATAGTAATAAATTAGTTCATTTATTCCTTAATACAGGCTTCTGTTCCTTGTACACAGTTGTACTTATAGGCCTAACTTTAAAATAACATTTTTAACTTTCACAAAGATTTACTCAGGAATGGTCATTCGACTAATGTACAAATATATTTGCTAATTCAGTTTCATGGCTAATTGATTGAGTAACTGAACATAAGAGATAACTAACACTGATCCAAATATTTCACTCAATTCCTGACACACTACCAACTGAAAACTGACTCAATGCTTCACTGGTTCTCATATTTATAATGTAGCCTTGTCTCTAGACACTTTGCAGTCTCTTGAATGCTAATATTTATTAACATTCTAGGTATACTAAGGTAACTTTTATAAACTTATTTGATGTTAACATTGTGCACCCTCTAGCTAAAATCTAAATTAGAACACTGAAGATCTAGCCTCTAATAATAATAATAAGGAATATATGTGGTACATCATAGGGAACGAAATGTGTATCTATCCTTACTAACTGTCATACCTTGTGGCTATGCAAACTACAGCACTGATACACAGCACTTTAGTACATTTATCTTTTCTCTTAGTATAAATGCATTCATAAATGTAAAAATAATGTAATAGGTGCATTTAGTTTAATAGTGCCACTAAAGTCACTGAATTCTTTATCATTGTTAACCACGTGGAGCACAGAACCACATTATGCAAGACAAATACATTAGAATACATCTATGTACTCCAATAAATGGCAGATTTTATTTTGGATTACACAAAGAATCAATCATTTGAAGCAATAAATTAGAATATATATATGTACTCCAATAAATGGCAGATTTCATTTTGGATTACACAAAGAATCAATCATTTGAAGCAATAAATTAGAATATATCTATGTACTCCAATAAATGGCAGATTTCATTTTGGATCACACAAAGAATCAATCATTTGAAGCAAGTTGGATCTGTCTGACAATAAATCAATCTTTCAAAAAAAATTTCAGTTTTAATAAATTAGTAAATGTTACACACACTGTTAGTAACAAGTCATGAAGTTGTACAACAATGTAACAAGTTCAACAAATACTGATGTTGCATGTATAAATTTCATCTGAACTGTGAAACATTAAGAAAAACTTACTTTTTTGCTTTAGAAAAGCAAATAATAAAACGTAGAAGTTTGTATCAAACAGATGATAATAATACTAATGTATTAACCTTTTTTGTATGCTATAGTTCTATCAAAATTGAAATAATGTAATCAGATTCCATATTTTATAACAAAAAAAAAGATATTGTTATAATCATAGAAAAAGAAAAGCTAAGTTTGATCAATGACATTCAATAAAACTTTCATGACATTCTTTCATTAATTTAAATTTTATTATACTGTTTGAACAAGAATTTTAATGAAACAAATTTGACAGGGTCTGTTAAAATGATGTGATTGACTGTTGTTGCATGCTTTTAACTGGTATTTATATTTTCAGTTATTCTAAAAATATTTTACAGAGGATGTATTTATTTTAAGGAGTGTATCAATGTTATATATGTGTAGATTTATAAGTGGCTTTTTTTTCCCCTTAGGTCTGGCTTGTCCATGGTCTGCTTAAAGCGTATGGATTGTTAGAGTGTGTGAATGTTGTACCCTGTCAAGTTGCCACATTAGAAGACTTGAAGATGTTTCATTCAGAAGAGTATGTAGCTTTTTTGTCAAGGGTGAATACGCTGAGTGATATTGAGAGAGAGGATTTACTTGAGGAATCACAACAGTTTGGTTTAGGTAAGGCAAAACTTAAGATGTATCAACTAGAAAGAAACTGATAGAAGGACAAAAGTGAATTTTTTGTTTAATTTTCCAAATTGATATTTGTCACTACAATAGCCATATTTGTTTCAAGTACAAAGTTTAAATGCTTTAAAAGCCAGTTAATGGAGGTTTTATTATTAAAGGCAAAAATAGTTATGATGGAAGAACTGTATCTAATTACCTGATCATTTTTCCTATCAAAATATTTTTTTTCCATAGTTCCACATTTTATAAATAATCTTATGTGCAGCAATGTATTATATAATTTGTAAAGAGTGAATATACAGACCTGCTACAAGAGTTGTGCAGTTAACTTCATTAGCCTTCTATCCAGATTGATCAACCTTGTAACCACTACACAACCATGAAACTATATATAATCTAGAATTTACTAAATAAATCTTCACAAAATTCAGTAAGCTTTCAATGAACATTACAAGTCTGTTTTACACAAAAAATCAGAATTTTTAATTAAGTATTTTTACTTAAGATTTGTCTCTGAATTTATGAAGCCTTGACTGAATCAGTCTGAGTGTAAGATGATTTTCATATTAAGAATATAAATACTTTTTCATCGTATATAGTTGTTGTATTTCATTTGCATAATCTTTAAAATTTCCTAAATGAATATAAAAAGTTTTTTAAGGTAAAAGTGTTTATTTTGTCAGTTATTTTCTCTATCATAACACTAACTGTAGCTAAATCATTGTCATGATATAAAAGACTGTTTTGTTCAGATAGTATTGAGTAATTTAGTTTTGTAAGCGAATGTTTTATTATTGTTTACTTTTTGTTATCATAAACGTTAAAAGCAGACAATTGTAGGAAGTTTTGTTAATAATTCATTGATGTTGAGAATATTGAATGTAATGTGCAATATATTGACGTCGAGAATATAAAAGGTGGACAGATGATTAAGTAATATAGATATAAATAGTGTGAGATGAGCGGGAAGAAGCAGACAGATAATAACAAAAGACAATAAACTTGGTGTGAAGTTAACTACCATAGAAGTGATAGGCCTAACGTTTAATACATTAAAGTGAAACTAGCAGTAGAAAATAAGATAAGAAAAATAATTATATTCCATCAAAGTGTGGTTCTAAAGTAATTGAATCAGCCTGAATACACTTTGACAAAAGGAACAGAGGATCTTCAAAAGAAAGAAGACAAAATTATTACAGTAATTCGCACCACAATTGTAAGTGAATCACACAGAGTACTAAAAAACATAAATAATACATAAGTCACTAGAATAGAGTGACCAAAATCAACTTTAATAAAATTGGTTTTCTAACTAAACTATTTAACGTAAAAAAACATTAAATGTTATGGGGATCATCTACTAGTATAACATCTGTTGATGCCAATTTCAAAAGGAATAGTAAAGGCTCTTTCAGTTGGTTATAAACATGTATGTTGAATAAGAGCATGTGGTTTTGAAAATTGACTTGAAAGGTAAGTGAAGATGGGCAACGGCTTCTGTTGTGGGTTGAGAAAATATGTTTATTTCTCACTATAGGTTATGTTAGCATTTTGAGCCTCTATATTGGACTTTGGAATAGTTTATAGCTTATATTTAGGATAAGTCAGATGGTGTAGCTGCTATAATAGTGAAGTTATACAAAACTAAAAAAAGAGAATTCAGAATGCAGATGTATCACATGACGCATAGAAATGAAGATTGAGAATTTTAAAAATATTTTCTGGTGAAGTAATATATGCAAACTTAGATAATATAAAAAGTTGAATTATAAATTTTGATATGATGCTAATTTTATTGGCATACATTGATAACAAAGTTGTTTAACTAAACTTTAAATGTAACTATAAACAGTTGTGACATGTACACTTTTACCTACTGCTATTGAGAGGGTTAAAAGAGCTTGTATAGCTTAATTAAATGTTTAGTATTTTTAACACTAAAGAAAATTAGATGGACTTCACTGGTGTGTCTCCACCTTGAAAAGTTAGAAACAAGTCTGCCTAAAATATCAAATTGCATCTGCACTTCACCTTCGCTGACCAATGAGAAAAATTGATCAAAGTAATTTGGAAGTATCTCTGCTCTATGTGATAGTCATGAAGTAGTCCTCTACACGCAAGTTAAATAAGGATACAATACAAATAATCTATAAAACAATTGATAGCTTCTGTAACCAGGCCCTGCTACAGAAAGTATCACCTGAAGCTAAATTTTTAATGTCGGACATCAGTCAGATTTTGGATGTACCAAATCGGAACTTTGAAAAATTTTAAAGTTTTGTAGATATGAAATATAAACTATAAGCAATTAAGATATGTAGTTGGCTCAAGTTTTGTATTTTTCTATTTTGGTTACTTTTATAACAATAAGTAAAAAAATCTACACAAAAAACAACAACAACAAGAAATCCAGTATTAATTCTGGTTTCTTGTTGTTGTTTTTTTCGCTCTCGGCCCTCAATGAAACTTAACCATATGTTTTTTTTATAATGATGTTAGTGGTACGTAGAAAATTTATTATTTATTTCAACACTGCAACTAAAAACATAAAATATTAACATGTAAATGAATCTAATGGCCTGAAAATGTTTTAATTTAATGGACTTTCTAACTAAGTTCTAAGTGGAATCAAATTCCTGTACCTGATAGAGATTTACATTTGGCCTAGTGTCTTGAGTTTTAAGCCACTCTGCTTTTAATCTAAATTTTCCAGGGTATGATTGTCCTCTGGTACCACGTTTGTTGGATCTGGTGGCCCAGGTGGCAGGAGCAACTCTGACAGCAGCTCGAGCTTTACTTGATGGAACATGTCAGATTGCTGTCAACTGGACTGGAGGTTGGCATCATGCTAAGAAGTAAGTTTATAAGTGTTTGGATGTCCAAACAAATATCCATGTAGCTTTCAAATATGCATTTTAGAACAAAAAAATATGTCAGTCACTAGAATAAATTGATTTAAAACTAATTTAATTTATTTAGCTTTCTATGTAACCTATAAATTGGCTAAAGGAATTCTATTGTGTTTTGGAGCACCAAATCTGATAAACACAAACCAAGCAATTCTCCTCAACTAATGGTTTAAAATGGTAAAACTTAATGCATAATTATAAGATTTAACGTAGAGGAGAATCTGTTCCATCTACGTGTTATAAACATGTACATCAATTATGTGAAGTTGATTAGCAAACAACCTCAAAAGTCAGAGTGAGGGGGAAGGGACTTCTCTGGAAGGTTTGAGAAATTTATTGATATCTCAGTAAATAGAGAAGCTAGGAGGTTTAAATTTTAAATTCTTGCATATAAATTTTTATAGTTTGTGTTTCTAATTGATTGGAAACTTCAGTATCCTATTTTAGAAGGTAGAAAATTTTGAAGTGAAGAAATCTGAGCTCAGATACCTCACATAACACAGAGAAATGATGATTAACATTTTTCAAATGTTTTTTTTTTTTAAATAAGTTGTGAAAACTTTGACAATGTAAAAACTTAATAATATACTATGCTTTCATGCCAAGTTTATGGACATTCATACCTTGATAATAAAGTTGTTTAATTAAATTGTGAATGTAGCATTGTAAGGTCATGACAAGTGCACTTTGATCAGGCCATAGAGTAAGAGTTAATGCACATTAATGTACTAATACATTATGTTATGCGTTACCAAAATTCAAAATGATTGCAGTTATTTTGTCATTTATCATTCATAATTTTCTATTATAACATTACTTCCACTTGTTTTAGGCAAATATTTGTGGTATTCTAAGTTATAGGCAAGAATAGTTAACCCCAGTGACTAGAAAAAATGTTATGCAGAGCTAAACTTAGTTTCCTATGTGGCTAAACCGATGGAAGAGACTGGATACAAAATGAGCAGAAATACTTTATTAAACACACAAATATAGTTCAGAAGAATATATGCACTGGGTGAGAAATACATAACCCTTTAACCATTTCACAATGGATAGGTCAAAGTGTGTATGAAATAACCTTTTACAGAGTTACATTCAGAATTTAATGAAACGACTGTATTATAAATTTATAAGAATAAACTTTGCATCAAAATGTAGTTAATAAATCAAATTTTGATATTATACAAGTTTTAAGTTCTTAATTTTATAAGGAAATATTTTTAAAATCTGCAATCATCCCTAGTATGAGAATTGTGACACCTGCCCTCTAGGTTTTCCCTCTTCCCTATTTATTTACCACCCCTATGAGAAATATGGTATTTAATGTAAATTACTTATGATATAGATATTACTCAGGTAAAGCATACTTTTTATAGCCTTGAATCTTATTTGTTTACAGAGCCATAAACTGGAAAATCATACCCACTTGCCATATGGCTTTCTTTTGTTATAATACAGTACAAAACAATAGAGAGGTCTATTGGCAATTTGTGAGATAAAAGATGTGACAGGTGGACAGTTTTAATCTATCAAATGATGCATTATATTATGTTGTTTTCTGTACAGAGCATTGTCTGTTTCATCATTCAGTTTGAAATTTACTCTCACAGGAATCACATTGACAAGCTTAGCTGAATTTTTAAAAGGCTCTTATAGTTAGAATGCCAGAAAAATTATGATAGTTATAGGACATTGTGTGTGTGTTTTTTGCATGTTATTATTCTGTTATGGGTGCAGTATTTATTTATATAAAAACTATTTAATGTTGTCATACCATTAGCATAAAAAAGTAAGCTTAAGTTTCTTCAACAGCAAAAAAAAAAGATAATTACTTCGGTAATTACTATATTTCTTGTTTTTCATGTGTATTCTTTATTTATTATTATCATTATAAAAGTCACTAAAATGTAAAAAATTAGAAACTTATTAGGTTAGATCATGTAAGATTATGAAAATATAAATAATTCTTCACAAGGTATGCTCACGAGCAGCTCGTGTATTATGTAATTCAATTCAGTAACATAGTCTCTTCTGTATACCTGTGCAAACACTTTACATCAGTAATGAAAAAATAATATTTAAGACATATGTTTGCTTGTTTTATTCTATTCAAATTTGTTAAGAACTTCAACATGAATAAATTTGTATGTGAAGTTGGATTTCTGTCAGCATTTTAGTAACTGCCGTTTTTTTGTATTAAGAGATGAAGCTGCAGGGTTTTGTTACATAAATGATGTTGTCCTTGGTATTCTCTGTCTTCGAAAAAAATTTCAAAGGATTCTTTATGTGGACCTAGATCTACATCATGGTGATGGTAAGTTAAAATATGATAGTTTCTTTCAAGCTAACAAGGAGTGAGTACTCTTTCATTAGTCATTAATATAGTAAAGTAAAAATATTTATTCAGTACCAGATGGGCCATTACAGGAGTTATTCTCAGCTGGTTGGGTTGTTAAAGGTATTTGACTCTTAAATGTAAAGTTTTACCCACAGTAGAAAATCTCTGTATGTAAATAGAAATTAAGGTAAAATTCATTGCAAAGTAAAACACAACTAGTATTTGACTAATATTTTTCTTAAAAAAACATTGTTAGTTTTTTTTTGTTACATTTGTGATTTACTAGTTGGTTGAAGTACTTGTATTGAGGCACATTCTGATTAGATTAAATTGAAAAAGTAATACATTGAGAACTATGTGAAAATTATTACTAAGCTCCAACATTATATTTAGAACCTATTATACAAATGATACACAAGGTGATGATAATGCATTGAATTTCTTCTGTCCACAATTCTAAAGAAGAATACATTGTTTATGGTTTTTGAATCTTAATCGTTGGCATCTTATAAGTATTATTTTGTAGTATGTCTAAGTTACTTTTAGGATATCCTGTATGTATATATAGTATGTGTTTATATTTATTTTAAGTAAATTTAAATTTGTATTGATTATATTATAAAGTTAAGTTTCATATTCAGGAGTGGAAGAAGCTTTTACGTACACATCAAAGGTTATGTGTTTATCATTCCACAAGTTTTGTGAAGGATTTTTCCCAGGTGAGTTTTGTGTGTTATTTCATAGTAACACCTTTATCAAGAAAGAAATTTTTTTCACATTAAGATATTTAAAAAAATGTCACATTTCAGTAGTTTTCCAACTGAACATTAGAATAAAATAAAATGTAAATTTTTTATTGGCTCTCTCTATATAAACCTATTGAAACATTTTTAAAACTTATTATATTTTTTTAGTTTGTGTCTGCGATTCTAATATATTTCCTGTAGTACCTTGTACTCTGTCCTGATTTTGACAATAAACAATACTTTGAAACACAGTGCCTAAGAACTAGTCCACAAAGTCTGCAGCTCATCAAATATTTACAGTTGTTTGTTTTTTTAGAGTTACTGATAATGAATCCTGGTGTTACTCCAGATTTGTACTGAGATATCATCTTGGTGTACAGAAAAATGCATTATTTTCTTGTTTCCAAAACTAAACTGTAAAATTATCCAGTTTGAAAATTCATATAATATGCATGATGAAGTATTATACATATATTTGTTGAGTACCCATTCTAAACAATTCTTCACAAGAGTTAGTATGTAACATTTTGGTAATAATAATAATTTATTGTTTTTCAGGTACAGGGTCACTTTCTGATATTGGTTTAGGTAAAGGTCGCTTTTATACAATAAACGTGCCCTTAAAAGATGGAATTCGAGATGACAATTTCTGCTGGATTGTTGAAAGGTATGTATAATTATAACCTTACACCATGTTAACTCTTTTCACACGGACTCAGTTGAATTGACAGCTTAGTCGATTCAACCTTGTTTGTAACAATTTTTGTACTCATTACAGTTTCCATACCATAACTTTTAACGTGTTATGTGTAACTTCACAACATTTCGGTTAACTTTCAGTTAACATTAAAAGATTAGATTTTTTAATTAAGTAAAACTGTAACATGAAACTACATTTGTTTATCCAAAATAGCTTTAAACTACATAACAGTATACATCTGTTTATACTTAAATTTTATTATTTTATTGCCCTTTGCCCCCATGTCTAAATTAATATTCAAGCCATAAAATTTTTAAATCAATTGACAAATGTGGACCTCATGTTACCTATCCAATTACATAATGCATGGGCAGTAAGAGAGCAAGCTTACTTGAAAAATGTTTATTATTCTTTATTTTATTTACCCTAAGATGTTTCTGATTTTTTCATTTTAGTTTCTTTTGTAATAATAAAAAAATAATCCACATGAAAAACAAAAAATAAAGGACTTACCTGGGTCTTATTTTTTTGCTGTTGATTGTCAGAGACATTTAATTCTGGCTTTTGTATACTAATGCTACTATTGCACTAAATAATTTTGTATTTAGTTAATTAATGCACCAAAGAACACAGAATAATAACATGCAAAAAGCAGTCAGTCTCATAATTATCACAATTTTTCTGTTTCTAATTATGCGACAAGAACCATTAAAATTCAGTTAACCCTTTCAAGATGGGTCAAAGGCCATGTCATTGCGTTTGTTGACTTGCATTAAAAATTTTCGTGAACAACTATTTTATGAATTTATGTTAATAAGTTTGGTATCAAATTGTAGATTATAATTAAAATTTTAGTGTTATACATTAGTTGATTTCTTAATTTAAAAGTAACTATTAAAAAAACACAGTTAAACATTGATTTTTGTGTGTCACATGGTATGTTGAATGTAGCACTGGTTCAGATTAGTTCTGTATGAATTAGGAACTCAAATTATTGATATTGATAAGCTAGAATATAAAATAAGAACCTCATATCTTTTGTATTTGCTGGGATATCCCTCATGTACTGAATCAAACACAGTGGTCACACTGCTCACCTCTTTAAATTTTTGGAAACGGTCCCTTATATACACTTATACAGTATATGACATATGAATAACCAATCGTATGCTCAGAATGTCCCCCTAGTGGCTTTCTCAGCCATTATCTTGTGTTAGGACACCATCTCGTGCTTTCAAACAAGATTTCATAGAGGCAGGTTATGTCTTCAGTCTGCTCGAAATTTCATATTTGTTTAGACCGAAATACAGTTTAGTTACTAAGTTTGATAAATTGTAGTGGAATTTATGGTATCGATATAGTAATTTATCAACTATATTGGTTATTTAACTATATATAAATAAAACTTGCATCAAGCAGCAACCAAGTACAAAGGTCGTAACTAGAAGAGATAATTGTTTGCTTTACTTCTTTATTTACTGTT